CATCACTCTCTCTAGGTTATCTCTCCGGGACGGGCTGTGGCCGTCCAGTGTCTTTGGAACAACGAAAATGCGGCCATGACCTGCCCACTCAGCCCTTGCGCGCCAGATACGCCCAGAACAGCAGCACCATCCACGCGACGCGCCACACGCACGCCAGCACCTCGCGGCCCATCAGCCCGAGCGACGTCCGCGGCCTCGCCGACGCGGCACGCCACGACGAGCCGAGCGAGCGCGACTTGCCGCTGTCGTAGAGGTCGTCCCTGTATATGTCGATGCGCGGACCGCTCTTCTCGGCCCAGCCCCACTTCTTGCCGTGGTGCTTGTGGCGGCCTGTCGAGCCCGCGCGCGCGGCGCCGCCACTGCCGCCGAAGCCGTTGGCGGAGGACGTCAGGGACGAGCTGCGGAGGCGCGAGGAACGGTACTGCGAGGAGCCGGAGGCGGCCGTGGTCGAGTTGTGGTGGGCATAGTAGCCGTCGTCCTCGACCTTGTCCTTGTAGGTGGGCAGGAGGCCGCCGGCGCCGGGGCTCTGGTCGGCGGCGAGGGTGAAGGGGGTGAAGCCCAGCACGGGCATGAGGAGGGCGCGGACGACAATGGCCGCGAGGCAGACGACGCCAAAGACGGCGTACTTGATGAAGGTCGAGATCTGGTTCGGCAGGTGGCAGAGGTGCGTCTGCAGTGTCTGCTGTGGCGAGCCGGGGAGCGGCTTTCCGTGGTCGTCCACGGGGTTGAAGAGGCTGACCATGACGAAGCCGGGCGTGGGCACACCCATGGCCATGTTCAAGCTCTTGACGGTGATCTCGCGCACGTTGTTCTTGCTGTCGGAGTGGACGACCTCGCAGTAGTCGTGATCGTCGCCCGAGAAGGCATGGACGACATTGCCGATGCTCTTGACGAGCTTGACCGAGTCCACCTCGCTCAGCACGTTCTGGTACTGATAGCCCCTCGAGACGGAGATCGCGTTGCGGTGATCCGGCTTCACGGGCTCCGTCTGCCCGGCAGGCTTCGGCAGCGGAGGCCAGTGCTCCCTAAGGGGGCCACAAGGCGTGCCGGAGTCCCTGTAGAGCGGAACATGGGAGAGAAGAATGGTGGGGAAGTCGCCGTTGGCCTTGTCGGGGTTGAGGCGCGGAACGTTGTCGAGATTCGGCCGGGAGACGTCTTCGACCTCGTGCTTGAAGGCGACCTCGCCGACCTCGCCGCGCCAGAACCGGAGCTCCTTCTCAACCGCCTTTTGCTTCAAGGACTGAACATTCTGGAGGAAAATGTTTGCGGGTTCGTAGATGGACTTCAGGTCGACCCGAGTGAGGGCGTCGGATGAGTCGGCGCTCAGCGAGACGGTGTCGACGGACACGATCGTATGGTTGCCAATGACGTCGACCCGGTTGCCGTCACCAAAGAAGGCGCTGAAACGGTCGCGCACGGGGATCTTGATCTCGTCGCCGAATCCCAAATCGTGGTTGCCCGGCAGCCCAGCGACGAGTTTCCGCCCCCTCTGCCAGGGACCGGGCTGCTCGCCATCGGTGTTCCAGTCCTTGATGAACATGTCGCTGAAGCGCGCGTATTCCTTCAGCCAAAACCCTTCTCCGTACTTCTTGTTCCACGTTTTGACGTGCTTCTCCTCGCTCTTGGGTCGGTGGCCGGCCGCCCACCTAGGATCGCTGAAGTCGCCCACGGCCGTCTTCCATTCCCGGCCGCCGTCGAACAGATCGCCGAGGAAGAAGACCGAGTCGGGCTGCAGCTGGGCTCGCAGCTGTCTGTAGCCCTTGCGCAAGTAGTTGTCTGTGATGAGCACGGTGAGCTCCGACAGGAGCCACGGCCGATCAGGGTAGGAGTGCGGATCGATGAGCTGGGGGTCGGCGACGAAGATGAGGTGGTGAGGGGTAGCTCCTGCTGGCTGCAACACGGGCGGCATCAGTCTCGAAGGCTCTCCTCGTCTGGGGCGGCCAGGTATGCACAGAGCGACTTACCCATTTCTCCCACTTGTCCCATCTGCAACTGGCGACGCGGCTGTCGAACACCCAGTATTCTCCCCACAACATGAGCAGCACAAAGAAGCCCACCAGCAAGTGGGGGAAGCTGAGGAGGCGCCGCGCCGTCAGGTTCATCCTGACCTGCCACGCGGCTCGTGTGAGAAGGTTGGCCAGCAGGCTGGACCGGTTGTTTCGCAGAGCCTTGACCGATTGCTGCAGCGCTTGGAGGGCACCAGCAAGGAGGTGTCGGCAGTTGGCGGCGACGCTGTTGTTGCGTCGCACCCGCGGGAGGTATCCTGTGTTGGGCCCAAAGCCATTGCTATACGAGGGAGCCATGCTCCATCACCTGGTGCTGCGACTCTCCGGCCTGTGTGGATGCGCGGCCAGGCAGCCGGCGATGCCTCGCGACGCGAAGTCAAGATGTCGGGTCGATTTTGGCTGAGCGAGCGAGTGCGAGCTCTTGTGCGGCTGCGGACAGATGCGGGTCGCGCAAGGTGCGGTCACAGAGAGAAACAGGCTTCGCTGTGCTGTGTTTCGTCGGGTGTTCGTATTCTCGGCGGCCTTGAGCTCACTCAGGATCAAGCACCTGCTGGACGGGGATTGAGGCTGACGTTTGCTGGCAGGATGGTCTCTCTGATGGAGGCCAGAAGTTGCGCGAGCCCCCTTTGCTGCTGCGCTGCTGAAGAGGACCGCATTTGGGGACCCACCGTGCATGGTCATTTTTAGAGCATGCTCCGGGGTAGGCCCACAGCGCCCCTGAGCCTAACGCCAAGTCGCCAGGCCTAGAACTCGACCTTTCACCGCGATGTGTTCTGTCCTGCTGTGGGTAGAGTTTCATCGTACGTAGCCTCCATCTTGCCCCAGTTGACGTCAGGAAGCTTTGCTGCGCTTCTCTGGGGTTGCTTTGAGAGCCCAATGCCTGAAAGTCATTATCGTGGCGCGTGCTGATGGGCCTGCTCCTGGCCTTACCTTATGTAATCAGACTTATGCCACCGTACCTACCTACCTGACTTTACCTCGTGGTACCTATGTAGGTACCTTAGGTAGGTAGATGCTTCGGTAGGCAAGGCATCGTACCAGGAACCCACCCCTTCATCATGCCACATGCCCCATGTCCAAGGTCAGAACAAGAACCCGATTCTTCAGCAAACCTTGAAGACACATTTTTGATTCTTTGAGCACAGTATCAGCCACAAAAGTATAATTCCTTTCTCCTTCACAACAGCACTACGGGCCGCGCCACTCCTCGATTCCCAGCTCTGAGCTCTCTTGTCCGGTATCTTTCCGAACACCACGATGACCCTGAGCGGTCAGCATGGCAGCCCTGCGGCTCAATACCACTTGGCAGCAGCCGTTTGAACCCCGAGCACGGGATCGACGTGGAAAACTGATCATTCTTTATCGAGAATTAGTTGCTTCCAAATTTATCGCATGCAAACTCGTCACATCACCAGGGAGCCAAAACGGTGGGACCCCTGCGAAGGGCGTGTGAATAGGCACGGGGTATAGAGTCTTGACTTCGCCATGGCATGGAGCAACCATCATAGGCATGCAGCAGCATCCTGACAGTCACGTTTCTGACACGTCGTTTCTGCCCACACGCTTCCAAGTCACAGGCCTCGGATGGGTGCGAAACACCATGTCCCTTGAAAGGGCGACATCGCAGACGATCTCTGGGTCGGTTTGAGGGGTAGCTCTTGGTGAGAAACAACGCCGCCAGGGACTCTACTCCCAAGCTACCTGTAGGTCGGTAGAGGAACCTAGGAGACCAGACCGTTTCCATGCGCACACATACCTCTGTTCTGCCAAGACCAGGGGAGCTCAAGTCTCCATGCGCTGGCAAGGTACGCATGTAAGGCTTGGTAGAGTGGGCAGACAGAGTGATCATGCCAAAGATATATCACCATGCGCGCCATCCGAAGACTGGGAGCCTGCCTCGTCCCGCCCGCTCGACCGAGCGTTATCCTGATCAAAAATGGCGGCCGGGATACGGCCTCACGCTGACATTGAAAGATAGGCTTTCGGTCGGGCCTACGCGACAACGCACACTATCTCAGATACACATCATGGCGATCAACCATGCGATGAATCGATCATGAGACTTGAATCCATACCTTGAGGAACGAGGACCCCCGGCACTTGTCCCCCAACTGCACACCCTCTTTCCCATATCACCCAACTCTGCTTGACAAACACTCCCATGGCAGTTTGCGTGATGCTGATCCCGGACCCGACGGAACGGAAGCCCAGACGTGTCGATGGCCGTGCGACGCCGTACGACGGTTGTCCACATGTCCTTCTCATGAGTAAACGGAGGGCAATATGCCAAACCGTGGGTCGCCAACCCCCGGTACCAGTGTTGACCTCCGCGCCCATCACCAGCAATGGCAATATGGAACCTGCCCCCCCGAGATATGTCCCTACCACCCCCGCACCCGCCGCATGTCACGGCACATCATGTGCAGAACAATGGCATTCATGGCTGCTTCTAGTGATCACCGTTATCTCAATGGCACAGGTCACGAGGGGCTATCAGAGCATGGAGCCTGCATAAGACGTCATGGATAAACACGCCGAAAGAGAACGAAGGAGCATCAACAGATGAGTTTGACCAGTGCTATGCCTGCTGTCCATGCAAGGCGTCCCATCCTGAAAGGAGTACAGACGCATTCTGAGTCGTGGAATCGCGCCCAGCTATTCTCCCGGAACTCATGACCTCAGAATCGTGGGGCTTTCGCGACGAAGACGCGAGGTGATATGTCCCAGCCGACTGCGTCCCCACTCCCGCCTTGTTCTAGCGTGGGGTGGACGTTCGAGAAGCCGTCAAGAACGGAAGAGAAGAAGGGAAGAACCCATACAGCAGAAAGCGTCCTGCAGCTGTAATGACAGGCCATCTCAAGTGAGACGACAGGAAACCGTCCCATCTATCCTATCGCTGCCCATAGGCACGGCGATTCCGCAGGCAAAGTCCAACACAAAGAAATCCGGATGACGTGACATTCCCATCCTTGAGCATCTTAGGAAAGTGACTGCTCAGAAAACCCATGTGAAGGACTCCTTAACTTCAAATGGAATGGTATATCTGAGTTCATCATTAGCAAAGTAATAACGAGTAGGAGAGGAGCGGATGGAGCATACTTGACATCGGCTGATGAGGCGCCAATGAGAACGTTGAACGTGCCCTCTTCCGCAATCCAGCTGGGGATCGCGGTGTCATAGTAGCCCACGGCATGCTTGTCGAGGTTGATACGTAAGTGGACAGTCTCGCCAGCTTCCAGGAAGACCTTTTCGAAAGCAACAAGCTCTTTCTCGGGGCGTGGTAACCTTGACTTGTCATCCCGTACATATATTTGCACCGTTTCCGCGCCGGCGACGGACCCAATGTTGCTGACCGCAAAGCAAAGCTCGATGGTGTTATGCGGTGTGAGGATCTTACTGTTGAGGGAAGGTCGCCCGTATTCAAACGTGGTGTAGGACAGCCCGTGACCGAAAGCAAAGAGAGGTTCGACCAGGGCTCTTTCATAGTATCGATAGCCGATGTACAGGCCTTCGCCGTAGTTGACCTTGAGATTCTCTCCCGGCCAGTTGTTGTAAGCAGGGGCATCCTGAATGCGCTTTGGGAAAGTTGACTAGTAGCATATTAGGCTTGAACTTGACTTGTTAGGGTTGTGGAATCGGATACTCACAGGAAGTTTACCACTGGGGTTCTTGAAGCCGAAAAGCACGTCTGCCAGAGCGTTGCCGGCTTCTTGTCCTTGGTACCAGCCTTGAATGATAGCAGGGACTCGGTCGACCCAGGGCATTGTGACAGGAGTGCCTGACTGGTTGATGACGACGGTGCGAGGGTTAGCTTTGACGACAGCTTCGATCAGCCTGTCCTGGCTTCCATCAGACGGCAGATCCATTGTTTGTCGGTCATAACCTTCGGATTCCCATTCAGCATCGAGGCCGACAATAACCACGGCGACATCGGCAGCCTTGGCGGCCTCAACTGCTTCTTGCAGGAAATCGACCTGGTCTTCCTCCTTGAACCCGATCCGGCATCCTCCGTACTTGTGAGTGATACCAAATTGTTTCTGTTTCGCAATTGGGCGAAGTTCGTTGGTCATCTCGACCCTCAGCTCAACTGGTTTACCGGCTTCCATTTCGACCTTGACGAGGTAGTCGACAGAACCATCAAACATGGCCTCACCCTCTTCAGTCCAATCCCACAAGTCCATTTCGAGCTTCCCATTTACGTAGAGCTTTCCTGGCCCGACGCTCATGAAGCTGACGGTGTGTGTACCGGTGGAATTCGAGGTTAGGTAAGTTGTCGCCACGGCAGACCATTCGGGGCCAACTTCGCTAATAGGAGCGGAGTCCCAGAGGAACAAATCCGTGTTTGTTCTTCGTTGCACCACTACGGGGTCGCCCTGAAATTTGTCGCCCGCAAACCACTCGATGCTGACACCTGGTTTGCCTGACTTGTCCTTGCAGAAGCGTGAAGCAACAGGGAGCCACTTATGAATGTGGCAGCCCTGCGCAAAGGTGATCTCGGCTTCGGATGCGGCTCGAATGCTATCCAGGGGTATCGTGTTGTAGTACGGGTTGAGGCTGGCGCTACCACCACCGCCAGCAATGGCTCGGTTAGCATTCGGGCCTATCACTGCAACTCGAGTCGTTTTGGCGTTCAAGGGAAGAACGCCACCCTCGTTCTTGAGAAGAGTGAGACCTTCAGCGCCAGCAGCCCGGATGAGCGCTCTGGTCTCTTCGCGGTTGTCCTCTCTTTCAGCCTGCTCTTCGGCCATGTCATCCCCCTTGAGCCTCTCCACCAGTGTCAAGACGTTCTCGGCGGCGCGGTCAACATCGCCTTCAGAGATTTTGCCGTCTTGAATTGCTTGTGTGACCTTGTCAAATCGCCACTTGGGCGAGTATGGGAACTCGATGTCACAACCAGCCAGGATGGATTCTACCGTGGAGTTGGTGCCACCCCAGTCAGACACAACAGCACTGCATATCGTCAGCAAAACTACCTCCCGTGCATTCCGCAGGGCCTCTGACATACCCATCATAACCCCATTCCCCTCGCAGAATCGTCCTCAACGTGTGGTCATGCATATCGGCATGGGTGCCGTTGATCAAGTTATACGATGTCATGAGGGCCCAAGGGTTGGCCTCGCGGACAGCAATCTCGAAGGGTCGAAGGTAGATCTCACGGAGTGGCCGTTCTTGGATAAGAGAATCTATCGTAAGACGATGTGTTTCTTGCTCATTGCCCACGAAGTCTAGCTAGAGTCAATTCGCCGTTGTTGCAAAACATTAGGAGAGGAACATACGCTTAATAGTAGCTGCAACGCCCTTCTCCTGCAGGCCTCGAATGTACTGGGCAGCAAGCTTGCCGGTCAGGAGGGGGTCTTCGGAGAATGATTCGAAGTTGCGTCCACCCAGAGGATGCCGATGCATACAAACGGTCGGGGCCAGGAGGATATTGGCCGATCTTGCTTTTACTTCATCTGCCAAGTGCTGGCCGACTTCGTAGAGTAGATCCTTGTTCCAGGTCGCCGCAAGCGATACACCGCAGGGGAACAACGCGGCCTACGTTGTTGTGAGTCAAATCTGCTGGATTTATGGACCATTCGACATACCTTAGTGCCTCCAACGAAGATGCCACCACGAGCACCATTAGGACCATCTGACGTCTTGACAGCGGGAATACCCTTCTCAGGAATGGCTTTCGTCCTCCAGAAGTCGGCAGCGGTAAGGAGTGAGACCTACTTCATGGTTAGTTCCCATGTTTGTTTCTACAACCAAAATGTACAATGATCAACCTTCTCTTTCAGCGTCAGCTGGGCAAGCTTCTTTCTGGCAGAAGTTCTTGTGTCTTTCATGAGTTGCTCAAACTTCTGCTGAGGACTGCATGGGGGAGAAAACTCCGTATTGGGCGTTGAGTTGGTCATTTCAGTATCTATTAGTCATGATAAGCTTCTCGTTGACGGCGCCGTCTTGATCTTGGTGCCTGTACCGCTCATTGTCAATGCTCAAACTATGTTGCTCACGACGAATCCAACTAAGGCGCGGGATTCGGGACGGTGGCATCCAAAAGTGGCTCAGAGCTGGGCTTCCACTTCGGGCCGCAAGGCAGGGAGGACAAGTCAAATTGTCAAGTATACAAGCGCAGAAGAAGTAGCGTCGATGAAAAAAAGAGGGTCGATGAAGTTGAGAAGTGTCTTCAGCCTGCAGTGTTCTTGATGGAAAAGATCACCGCTCCACGAGTGCCCAGATCTAATACACGACGAGGCGGAACAGGAAATGTAGGGCAAGGTAGGTCAATGGCACAGACGGTGACGGACTCGAGAAGTCTTATATGAGAAGGAAGGACGGTAGGCAGTGACAGGGGGGTCAGCACGTCTGCTGGGGCTCGCCATCAATAACTGAGCGAGAGCAAGAGAGTGTGGAGGATTACGGTTTGAGTCTTGGCGTACTGGTGAACGAAACATGAAACGGAAGACGAACATCCTCTTCGATCCAAACGGACAGGCAACCTGCCCGTAGCCTTCGCTTCCGACATCTTTGGGGGTAGAGTCTACCCCCTGCGGGTGGTCATCACGCCCTGGGCGGAAAACGGAAGCAAGTCATAGACAATAAGGGAGCGGCCAACGAGGATGAGAGGATCCCCAACCCAGGGTGTGCTAAGGTCCTGTACGTAGCCAAGCCTACGAGGAACCATGGACGTCCAAAGTGGAGAATCGTTGGCCGGTCACTAGACTTCAAACGTGCCATTTTCGAACTGTATTACCGCGAATCTCGCCGTACGTGCAGGCCGGTAGGAACGGACCGGGTGAGCGGTGTTCTCAGGGGCGCCAGGCCTCGCGGTGTTGCATGAGCAATTGGCGCTGACACCGGCATATTCGTTGGCGAGCAATTTAGTCGGTGGGGGACTGTTACCGTATGCGCTAGCGTTTGATACCCTGTATGCCATTCACGGCAGGGTGTGTTCATAAAAGGTCCTGCGTGCTTCTAGCAGCGCTACGTAGCGGCGCGGCACAAGTAGAGCAGCAGCAAGGCAAAAAGGTGGTGGTAAAAGCCAGGGTAGTCCAGAATGAGGAGGCTTCTCCGGCGTCACAAATCTTTCCTGTGCAGTCGTCCATCTGCAGAACTTGAGGGTGCTGAGACGATCCTGGCCACCGAGATTTCTTTCGCATAACTCATTGGCTCGATAGTTCAAATATGTGTCGCCAGCAACAATGCATACGCAAAGCAGCCCTTCCAACGGACACGTCGCACTCTCGACCGAAGAAGAGAATCCGGAGATTTGGAGAAGCGTGAGAATTGGGGGAGAACCAAGATCTCATCAGTCATCCCCGCACCTTTCCAAAGGCAAGGGTCCCTCGCCCTTGTCGATCGCACGAATAGACTCGCCGCGTGGCGAGGGACCCGGAGGCTGGGACCGTCGGCAACAACCACATCTTCCCCATCGGACCTTGGCCGAGGACGGACAGCATTTGATGTGGACAGCTCATAAGAAGCATGTCAATCCCCCGAACCTGTGTAGCAGTGTCAGCTCGAGCTGAGATCTTGATTGCGAAGCACCTTGCAACAGAGGCACCAAGCAAGCGTTGCGACCCAAGTCGTCATCACTGATCTTCTCCGCCACTTCCGAAAGGCCTGACCAAAATCAGATCTGAGACGTTTTGGGGAAAGGGAGACGAGCAAATGAGATGTTTTCCAAGGCTGGACCTCCAACATTATTACAATCTCGATGATTGCGCCGTCTTGCGCCAAACTGATCAAGAGACCACAGAATTGGAGCCTCACCATCTGACAAGTCCCCAAAAATATGAGGCTGTCCGCCTCAAGGACCAAGGGATATGACTATCAGGGTTTGTCTGGCAAACAGGCCCATTTTGTGCGAGGCAGACGCTGGCAATCTTCTTCCCCAAACAGAACGCCGGTGCATGTTCAAATGACACGATCGCCAGTTGTCGAGAGTCAGCTTCAGGCGGGAGAACGAGGCTGGGGCAATTGTCTGCTGGATATGATGATAGGTCCTCGATAGTTCGTTCTCAGTGCTGAGAGTCTTGGGCAAGTCTCCCAGGCGCGGGCCGCCGGGCCGGAAGCCTTGAAACGGAGACGTCGGATTGGCTGGAAGAGCTCGATTCGCTTAGGCCGGGACCTTGGGGGTGGCGTGTGCATCGCTGGATGGGAGATAGATACGATACATGCCAGGCTCTGGAAACGGCAGGGATGTTTTGTCTTCTTGCGATAGGAGCCAGGCGTCCAATTGGCAAAATTGCGGAGTATTCTCATGCCGAGGATTCGAGTATCATTTTTTTTTCTTGCCAGAGGACCGGGTTTTCTGTCAATATTTTGACATGCTGTGTCTCGATCAAAAGCATGACGGTGGCATGTTGTTACTCTCATAACCCGCTGGCATGGCTCTGGTGGCAGAGGAGGCAGTGATCGCCTGCAGTGGGACACATCGATGTCAGTTGACCCTGATCCTAATGCGGCCGATCTCGCGAGACCTAGGCGGGACTTTTTTTCCTTTTTTTTTCTTTTGACTGGCGGACGTCGGTCCGCAATGGTCCGCCGCCCGACATGCGCGGCGCCGAGTCTCGCTACGACGAGAACCATGTCGCGGGCTATGTTACGCGGCACGGGGAATTTGCGTGGGTTGGTGTTATACCTCTGGGAAGCACTCGGCGTCATGGAAAATGACCCGCGACGGATGGACGGTCGGCTTGCTATGTCGTGCTCGGTCGAGGGCGCCCGGCCCGACATGTGAATCCGCTTCGGGCTCGCTGTGTCGCTCGCAAAGAGGACCACTTGGGCCAGTTCGACTAGGCCACTGGGGCTCCAATTGCCGTTATCAACGATGTCCGGCCAGGCACCCTGCCTCAAGCAGCCGCGTCCTGATTTGGCAAAGAAGCCGCCGCGTTCCCATCGATGCTTTTCGGATCGAGCCGAAAAGATTGGACGAAGTCTTGCCGCAGAAAGCCGCCAGGCCAGGACAGGAGGCGGGCATAACATGGTTGCTTTCCGGCCAAATATCGGCTCGGGATGCAAGTCAACATCGCATCGCCCACAGCCCAGCCATAGCTTTGTTACCGTATGCAGGTCGGTCCAGATCTGTCAAAAAGGCTCGCGACAATGATGGCGACTATCGGCGGGTCATGTTGCGCAAGGCCATAAAGTAGGTCAGTAGGTAGATTAGCAGAGTAGATGACTGAGGAACTGGGTCAAGGCAACTCGGGACCAGAGATGAAGTTGAGGCAAGGCCAGCAAAGCAGCCCTTTCCCAACCTGCCTGATGTTGCATCACAGTTTCGACACTGTGTAAAGGTCACACTTGCTGCCACAAGTCTCACCAGAGCTCCCTATGAACACTAATTTCCAGGGAACTCAACAAAGCAAGCACCGCCCCAGTCACCAGTGCATTGAATATTTTGCACGGTACAACGTGTGGCATTCCGCCGCGTACCTACCCTATCTCTCATTGAGTATCAAATCCCGAGGATTAGGGCGTTGATTCAGACACCGAGAAAACAATCATCGTCAACCTCTTCAATACATATGAGGTCAAAGTAGTCTCGCCGATGCCTGCAGTCTCAGTTTCACACCCAGTCGTATATTTGCGTCTAGCATTGCTCGAAGCGACACGTTCTCAGTCGTATCTTCGGTCCTGCTTCCGATCAATCCACCCGTGTACCGCTTGATCCCAACTTCATCCAAACGCCATCATTAATTAACACGTGCGTTGAGAGACGGTATCCAGCGGTTCAGGGGCTCGAAAGAGTAAACCTCCTAGACCAGGCCCGCAGACCCCGTCGCCCTGGCGGAGAAGGGACTCGAATTACCGGTTGCCCTACAGAAGTGGTAGAATTGTCCGAGTAGAGGTTCGACAAGCACCCTGCAGAGCGAGGGCGCTTTGCCACCGCGGCGCATCCTCCGACTGCATTCTTATTTTATTCTCCGAGGTCTCACCACCTGAATACGACCTTTGGTCGGCTCTTTCAAACACAAGCCGACCTTCATTTCAGGACATGGCTGCCAGGCGGAATCACGAGTTCTACGAGCTCTCAGAGGTTCGTTGGTAGTTGCTACGCTCCTCCACTCCAACCCTCATCACTGGACTGACTGGTTTCTAGATTCGACCAGGCTCACATTCTTCTCAAGCAACAGCCAACCTGAGAGTCACGACTTCAGACCCTCACATCGAGCCCTTTTCTCTCAAACAGTTTTGGTCTCAGCACGTCAGCTGTGTTGTCGATTTTGATAAATGTCGCGATCATTTAGGTATGTTGCAGACGTTTCCTACCGTTTCTAGGTCCAGATATGCGTTTCGGTTGTTCCCTGTTCCTGGTAAGCGCATCAACTGCCCCCCAGATCGCTCCGGAAGACTCATCCGCAACCCTCTCTGTTTACCAGTACGGCCGACGTCGTATTCCGCACGCACATGGGGAGCTGGGGGAGGGGGCGTGTGCAGATACAACGCAAGTTTCTCCAAGCGGACCTGCAACATGTTGCTGCTTCGGTACACTTGCATGCTCTGCTCGTGGACTTGCCTCGTTCCGGCTGCAAGTGCGCGTCTTTCTAGAACCCTGACCTTGCCGGATTATTGACCATCTCGACCTGTCTCCGCGAGCAGGCCCCAAACTGGCTGCTGAAAGGCAGCGTCTACTTTCCCATGCGTGCGCTCCACTCCCTGCACACACTCGCACCCCTCACCGAACCACACCTGGCCCTGTCGGTGTATATCTGACGCCGGAACTGTGTCTCCGTGGCTTGGAACAAATGTGTCTTCATTACTCTTGTTGTTTGCGGACCTTTTGTCGTGTCTTCGACTTAATTCCTTCAACCATGTCAAGTCTGGTGATTCGGAACCTCGAACCACCTTACTTTGCGGGCTGGCCGGATTTGGCACGGAGGCGGCATCCGAATTTATTTATGCCTCTTTGCCGTCAACCCTTATCCCCGCCACATCATCTCCCAGAAGACAGCAGCTGACTCAATTTCTTGTTTGCCACGTGAAGCCGTTGAAAGGACATTCTTGGCGTATCTTAGGACTGCCCTGATGGCCGCCATGACCGGCACCCTGGTTGCGCAGCTGTTCGTCCTCGAAGATCAGGACTCGGGCTTCGGCTATACCAACGTAGGCAGGCCGCTGGCGACCTTCTGTTACGCATTTGCCATGTGCACAGTTATCATGGGAACAAGTCGTGCCTGGAGGCTACAACATGCCATGATCAGAGGGAAAGCATTGACTGGAGGGTTTGAAATCATTGTTTTGGCAGGAGTGTCGTTCGTGGTATGTTGCCTACGAGTACCGAAGTCTTATTCGTGGTTCAATGGACTAACTTTATTTACAGCTGATAGTTGTCTTCACTGGCTTTCTTATTGCCCTCGACGTGGTCAAACGAACGACATCTCGGTCAGAAACGGGAGGCTGATTCGTAGTTGACGTCGGGCGAATTGAAAATGTTGTACCAGCGAGAGATCCCGAGGCATTTCTGACGCCCTTGTGCGAGAATGACAGTCGCCGCATCGTACTTTGCTCCTCGTCAGTCATTGAACCCTATGAGGGGACCAAGTGCGGAGCGGAAACGATACCATGCGGACGCTGCATGTGTTCGGTATTCGGGAGAAGAAGTAAGCTCATGAAGAATATCCCGTGTGTCATATGTTTGGATACAACCGGAGTGGTTCGAAAGCCTTCTCTGTAGCCTTGTACGCACCTTTTCTCAGCAGGCCGTACGAGGTCTGATGTAAATGCAATGGCGATCAGAATGAAGGGCAAGCTCTCAGGAAAGGGGCCGCCTGCCAAGGCGTACGCAGGCGAGGAGGGTTGGTTCAGCACCGGGATGCTCGAAGGGCGGCGCTGTCAACAGCTTCTCTCGAGGTACCACGCTCGCAGTAGTTGATGAGCCATCAGTCTAATCAAAACCTGGTATCCAGCCGCCGGAGATTCACAGCCGAGGAATAGTTGCGAATATTGGGTGCGGACATTGGGAGAGGATGAAGTGATGCAAGCTCTGATGGTGAGCATGAGACTGAATATGACAAAGAAAAAGGTTCGGACTGGGGAGGTTGATACTGTCAGGTCCTGCTCAGGCAAAGTCACCAACAGGAACAGGCGAGCACTATTGAGCGTATCTCGCTGTACGAGCTGGTTGACAAGACACGAGACTCCATGTCTAGCCACAATTCTGGATCACTTTTCGTATTCTTATATTCTAGTGTGAATTTATAATGTCCTACATGATACAAGTCCGCTGCACTTGCAGAGCCAGAACGATATTCAGAGAACCTTTGGCAAGGTCAGCTCATTCGTGGCGTAACTGCACCTCAAGGCCAGCAGGAGCACCAGCGAGGCCTTGCGACTGAAGCCCTTGTGAGACGATCAAGCTGGCCTGAGCCTCTATCTCAAGCTCTGTATATTTGTTAAGAGGAGATTACTTCATATATTTAGGTGGTGGTAAAAATACGTGCCGCCGCTTCTCAGCCTCAGTCTTTGAGGCACCAAAGCTTAGGTAGGATAGCGCTCATCGTGGCAAACGACGAAAACATGATTGGAGGCTGATCGATGGTTGTTCTTGGAGCATCGATGATCGTGGAGCTCGCGAGAGCATTTCTTTCTGCTGCTTCATGTTGAACAAGCCCAGGTGAGTCTGACACTCTGTTCAGTTCGGCCAGACCAGTAGTCAGACACTTCCGCCTATGTTCCGCCTCAAGTCATAGGCCATCGATTACTTATCGCCATGGAGTTGCTATTGCGATCGGCCCCTGGCGTCGGTCTTGTTCTATCTCAAACGACATGACTGTAGGTCAAGCTCGGCCAACTCTTGCCAATTGAGCCAAGTCCAGACAAGCCTTGTCGTCGTCGTCGTCGTCGTTGTTGTAGGAAGTACAAAAACTGGACGCGGCTTGAGGGGTTCCTTATGATCTGGTTCGAAACATCAACTTTCGAATACCAAGTAGGTTGGGCTCCAGAAGCTGGCCGGAATGAATCCGTCGTGGTGCTTGTCGCATCTAGGGGGCAAGTTACAGCATACTTGAATTCGATATTTTGAGCGAGTCTTTCGAGTACAAGCAGCCGAACCCGGAGACCATGGCATCCTCTGCCGCAGCTCCTTTCAAGAGGTGCATGGATCGCATCGCGCAGGCGAGGCTTTGTTAGTGTACGAAGGCGGTGGTTCGAGGGGCAAAGTCGGTGCGATCCAGACGGCGCTACTGCCTGGTGTGGTCCCTAATCACACAAGACTACTTTTGGCAACCTTCGTCGCGGTCGTTGTCGCACAATCTGTACTCGTGGCGGATAGACTAGATCAGCACGAGAAGGCGATGTATTTACATGCATGTTGTCTAATCAACAGCCCGTAATTCCAGCTGCCCACGACTATTCTCTGCCCTCTGCGGTTCCGTGCCCACAGTCAGGTCGACGACAAGTAAGATGTTGCTGTCGCCAGCGCGGTTCGTTCGAAACTCTGGGAAGGGTTTTTGGCTAGGGTTGCCAACAGAAGATGATGATGATACCGCGGTCTAGCAAGGGATCTTGCTGTAGCCCTTCTTGAAGAAGACGGATATGTCAACCACTTGGTTGATCGCGCCCTGTGAAGATGGATACGCTTGCCGCATTGGGCGCATTTCCCGATTCTCTCTTCTGTACATTGCATTTGCCTTTTGGGCGGAAGGGAGGGGGGCAGGGGCAAGATTGTAGATGGGGTCTTCTGGTGTTTCTCCGCGGCGTGAGAGACATGCGGGCAGCGGCTGTGGTAAGGGTGGAGAAACGTGATTTGCTGCCTTCCGTGTTTGCACTGCTTCGTGGATCATTTTGCTTGATCATCCAGGGGAGCTTGCAGAGGAATGGCCTCATGAGTAGCTCACAGACTACAAAGATGAGTATACACATTGGAGATCTCGGTGTTCTCGTGCCAGGCCTTGGTACAGCGTCGCCTCGCTTAGCCCGAGCTGTCGGGGCCGGACAACTCTCCTCAAGGGCGTCGGCATTTCAATTAGCACGACTGTGTCGGCCGATTGGCTCAGCAGCGTTGCAGTCCCACTGTCAGTGAGGCCGGCAAGACATCCGAGGGCCGGGTTATGGTAGGGAGAACTCGAATGAATTACCTGCTCAGGCGTAGTGACTTGGAGTGTCACAAGGATCTGAAGCAGGTGAGGTGAGCTAAGCAGGCAAAAAAGCACAAGCGTCATAACCCTGTCTCTCCCTCCCTGTCACGGCGGCCAAACATGCTGGTCCTATCGTCGTTGGCCCCTCGCAACCCCCCAAACCTTCTCTGTCAATTTCTAAAGGCCCCCCCCTACTTTCTTTCTCTACCATCACAGAGTCAAAGCTGTGATTTCTTTCGAAGGCGGCACGCCTGTCTTCTTTGCCTTCTTGTCTCTTTTGACTGGCTACCTCCCACGATTCAGAGCTCTTCGAGCTCAAAAACGACCGTCGCCGTCCCAACGCGACCAAATCATTCCCCCACCCACTGTCCGCAGACAACAATCGCCCACCATGGCGTGGTCCAAGTCGACGCGCATCAGCATTATGCTGGCTATCGATGTCGTCTTCTTCGTTACTGAATTGACCGTCGGACTGCTCGTCAAATCCCTGGCCCTGCTCGCCGACGCCTTTCACATGGTGAGTCCTCTGTCGCAAACCCGATTTTGGGGTGGTTCGCTGCCTCGGAGATGGCGCCACTGACCCGATCGGAAACCAGCTCAACGACATCATCTCTCTGTGCGTCGGTCTCTGGGCCGTTGCCGTCGCAAGCAAGGCGACCACTGATAAGTATTCCTACGGTGTATGTGCTGCCGCCTCCTCGAGCATGTGCTGGGCCAAACGACTGACCAACGACGCAGTGGCTCCGTGCCGAGATTCTCGGCGCCTTCTTCAACGCCGTCTTCCTCATCGCGCTGTGCGTGTCCATTATTCTCGAGGCCATTTCCCGATTCTTCGACCCTCCCGATATTCAAAACCCTCAGCTTATTCTCATTGTTGGCTCCATTGGTCTCGCGTCCAACCTTGTGGGCTTCCTGGTGCTTGGTGGTCACGGCCACGACCACGGACACGGGGATCATGATCACGATCACGATCACGGCGACGGCGAACACGACCACCACCACTCTCACGAACATGCTGCCGAGGAAGGCCGAGTCACGGTCACCGACCGCACCAATTATGCCATTGCCAACGATGACGGGCCAGCCATCGATGTTCTGCCCGAGGTCGCCGTCGCCAGGGCCACCGAGGGCGCTACGACCACGCCTCGCCGCATCAGGTTCGACAGCGAGTCCGAGTCTCCCAGCAACCGCGGCCCTAGTAACACCAGGGGTCGCGAGAGGGAGCGCCGCAGGGCCAGCAGTCTGCGCCATTCGCGCCTCACGAGCATCGACGACATCAGCATCTACCCTTCCAGTTTCCGACAGGAGATCATCGACGCCAGCCGGCCCAGGCCCAAGGACATGGACGGAACCACCGACGAGAGCGATGTGGAGGACGGCGCTGTTCAAGATGGCGAGTCTAGCGAGAACACGCCGCTCCTGAGCGACGGCAACGGCAACACAACCTACAAGAGCACTTCGCGCCACCGGTCCTTCAACGGTCGTCCTCGCCGGGACTCGAGCCTGCACTGCGAGCACAACCACAACAAGCCGAAGGACCGCAAGAAGGGGGGAGGTCACGGCCACAGCCACGGCGACCTCGGACTGAACGGTCTGATCCTGCACGTCATCGGCGACGCGCTCGGCAACGTTGGTGTCATGGTTACCGCCCTGATCATCTGGCTGACCGACTGGCCCGGCAAGATGTACGCCGACCCGGCCGTGTCTCTCTTCATCACCCTCATCATCCTCAAGTCGGCGCTGCCCCTGACCTTTGCCACCTCCAAGATTCTGCTCCAGGCCACGCCCGACCACATTGATCTCCAGGACATCCGCGAAGACATTGAGGCTCTGCCCGGCGTCGTGAGCTGCCACCACGTCCACATCTGGCAGCTCTCCGACACCAAGATTGTCGCGTCGATGCACGTCCAAGTCAGCTTCCCCATCTCGGCCGAGGGCGGCGAGAAGTACATGGTCCTGGCCAAACGCGCCCGCAAGTGCCTCCACGCCTACGGCATCCACAGCGCCACGATCCAGCCCGAGTTTCTCTCGAGCGCCGAGAACGCCCTCGTCGAGGACACGGCCGCCCTCGCCCTTGACGGCGCAGGAGATCACGTCGTTGTCAGGAAGACGTCCTGCCTGCTCGAGTGCGTCGACGACTGCGTCGGCAAAGGCTGCTGCTCCACCGGCACCACCGTCGCCGGCTCCAGCCCCCAGAGCCACCACAGTCACAGCCCCGGCGAGTCGCCGCACAGGCACTAGGACTCCGTGTGGCGCGCATTTTTCGGGGCGTGGCGCCGATGAAGACGGTCGCGGAACAGAGCCCTCGGCGATCGCGTGAATGTCT